TCTCGAGACATATATTTGCCAAACATTGGTGTTGGAACAGTATGGTCTTTGCTCCAATAATGATCGATTATGTGTTTGACGCAATGTTTCATCAACATACACAGTGCCAAAAACACATACATTTCACCTACAGTCGTATCTTTCCATCGCTGCAAACGTGAAAAATCGGATAACTCCTCCCCATCAATGAGATCACTCGCATATTTGTTCGTCTCCTGAACAAGATGTTCCATTAGCGGTTCATCAAAATATGCAGTAAAATAGTCCATTTCACACATATCTGCACCTTTATCAGGGAAAATGTCTGTAATTCCAACATCCGAATTATCAAAAACAGGAATTTGTGGAACAAAATCTGTCCCATCACTCCACACAAAAACACCGGGTGTCTTTCTAGAGCCAATAGCGGCACCACGGCGAGGAAACCGTGTACCAGGAGCTGAAGCAGGTCTAGGAACAGTAGGGGCGGGCAGGGATGGTGATGGAAAATTCCTCGATGTTGAGGGTCTTTGTTCCTGTGGTGCCATGCGGTGCCGCATGGCTCGGCCAGATGCTGCTGACGCGACAAATTGTCGCTTGGCAAAACCACACACTCCTCCACTGGCACTAGCAAAACTATTTTCCGATTCTAAGTCACTAAAACCGGAAAATGATTCACCTTCTTCAGAATCGTCGAGCAAAACATCAATATCTTGCAAGGGAGCACATGAACTGTGTGGTCTTGCTGAAATTGGGGTGGAGTGAGGGCGAGGAGGCATGGGCGAGATGCTAGGCCTAGCCCTGGTGGAGCCAGCATGTTCACACTCGTCGTCGGTCGTATCCACCTCTGAGGGCTGTGTATAGTCATGATCAAAGTCTGAGTCATCTATATCAGACTCATCACCATCCGGGAACAAATTACGAGTAATTTCGTCCTCAGTCAGAGGTCTCGAGGAACGTCTCGCTGAGCGGGGTCGGTCGTCGGAACGTGATGCGCTCGCCATGGTGTCCGCCGGGTAACTAAGCTCTGTACACAAAGGGGACCCACGCTGGATTTTTTTCCCAGGCAGGGTTTGTTTATGTTTGGTCGAGGCTCGCCGATGACTACCCCTATCCCAGGCGAGCGTTTAAATTATAGCGCTAGACACGAAATCATATATAAATGATGTGCGTGGTTCCGGTTTTGTCACTGATATCATTTATATATGATATGCGCGGTTCCGGTTTTGTCACTGATATCATTTATATATGATATGCGCGGTTTGAGGGTTAAAAAAGGTGGGTCCCCTGAATGACTCCAGCATGGGTTGGACATGCACATGAGGGGGACAGGAAGGGTTGAAAAAGGGACAGTCACTGGTGTGCGAACGGTCTCAATCGAACAAAAATATACCTAAACAAAGACAGGTATATAAACAACTCCGCATCTAGCGCCCGGCCAAAAGACGCCAGACCGCAGAAACTCGCCTGGCGAACGGTGGCACGAACTTGACACGACTCAACCGTGCCCAGAAGAACCTGGGAGCACCGCCAGGTGAAGACGCCAGAGCCGGACCCTGCCGGACCCGCAGGAGAGCAGGGAGAGGCGAAGGAGGCAGTCCACACCCATGACACAGCGAAAACCGCAGTGTCCTCCCCACAACTGGGAACCAGGACACCCCCGGCGCGAAGGGGCACATACCGCAGCCAGGGAGAAGAACGAGAGGCGAAGCACTGTAGCAAAAAGGGCGCAAAACACCAGCACTGAAACACCGCCCAAACCAAAACAAACTCCACGGCGCATGCGCATAACACGCTGGCCGAACCGCACACCCTCTCTGCGGGAAGGCGCCAGCCAGGACTACTGCACGAAAAAATTAGCCAAAAGAGGAAGCAGGAACAATAAAAGAAGAAGAAGAAGCAAAGAAAGCCCAAAAAAGGAACCCAACCAGGCGACAAGGACGAGGAGCCGACAGACGTTCCAATAATGCGGGAAGTAGCGAAAAACCTTCCCGTACCCTTGAGAACACAGAAGCCAACACTAGTCCCGAAGGCACACGAAGGCGCAGGCGCACCCGAGATCAGAAGTCATGTAGAACCCCATCGAACGGGGAACAGGACGAAAACACCGTCCCAAAAAAGGGTGGGAGGAAACATCCACCCACAGGACGGAACCAACCGACTCAAAGGCCAAGGAACCGAGCCCGGGGAGGGGCCGACGCCCAACAGCACGTACGGCGAGCGGGGAGGAAAGACCCCACTCCGCGTAACCACAAGCCCCGCCTAGAGGGGGATAAAAACCCCCACGGGGTCCAACGGGGCCAAGGCCCCCCTAGTCAGCCCCTCCCCAGCTCCGGGAACCTACACGACAGGCCCCGGGGCCGAGCCGTTCCCCCAAAGCCCCGGCCGTACCAGAAAACCGGGGCAGCCGTGAAAACACTAAGGAAGAGAGCCCACTGGCAGACTCATACAACACGGCTGGAGGAACAGGCTCAAATGCCCCCGTCACTACCCCGGAAGGGGAATTCCCCGAGACTGCCCGAGTCTCAACACCATCAAAAACCCCGCCCCGAACCTACAGACGGTAAGGAACCGGATGCAGGCAGGAAGGGTGATCCAGGGGAAAGACAAGGGGGGCGTGGATGGAACCTGTGGAAGGTGGCCCCAAGCCCCAAGGGCAGTACTTACAGGGCACCTAGGAAAGGGAACCCTAGGCGCATGCAGCCCGAGTACTGGAGAATCATTCCCGGCTCACGCACCTCCTAGAAAACAGACACCACACTCTAGGTACAGTGCTGAAACAACCACTGGAGCCAGAGCACATAACCGGTGCCTATAGCATCAGCCGAAGAACTGATGGGTGGATAGCCGGCGTGGGAGGTCTGGGGCTCCCCCTTCCCACTCCCGGGAAGGGGGGAGCTGCGCAGACAGCGGCGCGGTGACGTATGACGTCATACTAGTTTCCTTGTTTTCTGTTGAAGAGTTCTATCCACTAGTTCGGCTTTAGGTAGCAATTTTCACCAGAATAGGGGTTTGTTTTGGAATGCTTACCTTTCTGGATGCTTGACCCGGTCGATGGCAGACATAGAATGCTTCCAACCACACGGGGGTTTCTATAGGCCATTGCTCCCCTTGCCTCTCTGAGGGGGCCAGGTTCTGGCCGTGGTCCCCGGTAGGCCCTAGAACTCCATACACATGACTGATGCCAAAGTCTGACATTAGCATATCAGCCGGTAAAGCTCTGGGGAGCCGACGGGGCTCCCCCCAGAAATAGCTGCAAATGTTAAACAAATCTCCAACTTATTGGCTTCAGTGTCATGAAACTTTCATCAAAATATTTTCAGAAATTGATTTTAGACGAATTTTTGAAAAATAAGAACGTTTTATTGATAAGGAGAACAGCTCCTAATAACTGGAACTGAAGGATTATGCAGTAATAAAGAGATGCAAGCACCTGTCCTATGCTCAAAAGAAGAACAATAGTAGTAAGAAGTGTCCACAAAGTGTATATGCAGTTGGTGCCTTTATATCATTGCTGAGTAATACATAATAACACAAATAATAATGAATAACTATGTTAATATGATCTATTTTGTTATATATGATATAAATACATTGTCCAATGCTAATATGTTACTTTCATCAGTCCTAAAAATATTTTTTAGGGGAATTTTTTTTTAAAGATTTTTTTTTCTCCCTTGTTTATTATCTGATTTTGTTGTAACCTTTACATTCTGGAGAATGTATGTTTCCAAACCTATGTGAAGATAGAATGGAATTGGTCAACAAATAAATCGGTCACAACTCGCAAAACTTGGGACTTAAATTTTTTTGGCTGATTTTGTCTTTGATTTCAAACTATATTTTCTTTGTCTCTTTAGGTTGTTTTGATGATTAGAGACCATATTAGGGCTTTTCCTCTTATATAAAGTATACCCTAAATATATCCCCTACTTCATTATAATTATCCCTATATTTCCCTAATATTTTGTGTTTTTTGGAGTGTTATTTTTTCTTGACTTCATTTCAACACACATTGATCAACAACTTTCACACATTCGAGTACGCATGCCAAACAATGCTTATTAAAACATAAAATTAAATTAACGAATTAAAACTACCTTTATTCATCGTTGATAACTTCAACTTTATCAATTATCTTCAACTTCAATTATCTCTGAAACCAGTTTCAACTTTGAGTGGCTTTTAAAATTCCAGTTATTAACCGATTCTCACTATTTTGACATATTGTGTGCTCAGCTGTCTGTTATACAATCTCTTCAGAATGGATTTTTCATAAACTTTATACATTTGGAGTTATAATTTTTTTCGGTCTAAATTTGCTGCATATTTCAAATGCCATATTGATGATTTTTTTTTACAGTAAACTGTACTGAAAACCTATATTCTAATTTGATGAAAATGAAGATTATATGCTATTCTGAGAGAATAATAACATTAAATGAACAATTGGTGATAGTTCATATGTTTTATTCTGAATTGAAAATCTGAAGTTATCAATATTCATTTTTAAAATTAATTTTGATTCTCTTGTTTTTTCAAGTTACGGTGTGATCATTTAGACAAAGTTTGAGTATTTGCCTAGTTGATTATGCAAACAAAATTGGAAAGTGTTTGTGCAAGTTTTAAAAACTTATGTTAAATTATTTTTTGTCAAATCATATATGTATGTATTGCACAGTCTAAGAGTTAAAGTATAGGAAAGTGAGACTTTTATGTTCTTATATGCAAATATTCCTTTAGAGCATTCTATTACAAACAATTTGATACCAAATTGAACAACGTACCACAAAAACTGAGGTCAGAAAGCTGAAATGAGTATTAACATTTGTGGGTGGTGGCGAGTTCAGGCGCAACGCTTGGCCTACCTTGAGGTGTGCGGGGGGTCGCTTGTTGGGCCACCGATAGTGTTAAAATTCTGAGACACTACGGAGACACTTCCCCTGTCTTTCACTACACTTAGGTAATTACACACAGGAAGATTTACTATCTGAATGCCAAGAAAACTGTAAAAAACCTACCTGAAGACAATTGGTGATGGAACACAAAATTTGACCAAGATTTTGTGAATATTTTCATGTAAATTGCTTTCATCCAGCCACCAGGCCATCTGTTCATTTGCCGAGCCACCTGCAGTTGGATCCGGAGCTCCAGAAACCTAAGCAAAGGATGTTTGTATTAGGATAAAACTGCTCACAAGACATATATATACTCCCATGATCATGATCTCCATACCCTGTCATTCCATACACGGACACAGGAAAGCCTACAAACAACTCTGAAATTACCTCAGGGGGTCACAAGTAATAATACTCACCTTAAAACCAGGCTTTTAACATTCTTACAATAATAAACTTCTGAATCAGTTGCCCAGTGATTTACAGAAAACACAGTACAGTACACCCATTACTTATCAGTTTCATCTATATCTGGTAGAAATTTATATTTATTTTAATTATATGGCTTTGCAATGACTTTATATTAATAAAATACACACAAGGGTCACACTAAAACCAATAGCAGAAGTACTTAGAAATGCCAGAAAATTAAAAAATAAGGAAAGGATCTTTCAAATAACTATTTAACCCCCTCAACTGTGCAAGGCACCTGCAGGCCCTCGTCCGGGGTACACAACGCGCCTCTGGGTATTTTTATTTTTCATGTTCCACTCAAAACTGCCACATGGTGACGCAGGTACGAGATGGATGCCTGGGGGCCCCAGTGATCATCCGCCATCTTGAAAAAAAATCACAGCATGCCCCGTGGCCATGGGGAGCCTCAGTTTCAAAGCAGCAACCATGTCTGACACATCGTCTACGAGCTCCCACTCCATGGTTACCTGGGGTCATGGAAAACGACTCTCTGAGGAGCAGATACGCGACATTTTGTATGATGACGGTGCTATGGATGATGAACTAGACTATGATCCAGAGAAAGACCTTACACAGAGGTCTGATACGAGTAAGGGAGAGATTGAGGTCGATGATGTGGCGAGTGTGTACGGTACACGCGCCTCACCCGGCCTGTCCCGCCGTCCGGGGTCAACACCGTTATCATCACCATCACCATGTATGTCCCCAGATGCAAGTTTATTCAGCGACAGTACATGCGATGAATCTTTCTCGGGCTTCAGTGACATAGGCTCTGATACAAGTTGTGTGGACGACCCAAGTACGAGCAGCGGGGGTGTTACCAGGCGGGGTTTTGTTGCCTCAGCAACACATTGCTGCAAGCGGCAGCATGCCTCACAGCAACAGGACAATGATGACAGTGGCCCCTCAACATCAGAAGTTTGTGGTAGGCCTAAGTACATAAATCTGCCTCATCGCCTAGCATACCCTCACACAGCTCCAGCACCAGACGCTTTTGGTGCTCGTGGTGGTGTTGGCGCCAACATCAAACCCCCGGGTGTACTTGTGTGGGAGGATTGTGCCACATTTGCCCCTCAAATACCAACGTTTGATGATACCGATGTTGATGTTACACCATTATTCCCATATACCGGTGATATGGCAGAAATGGAATATTTCCTGGCGTATTTCGACAACGAATTCATGACGCATCTTGTGACTGTGACAGGTATGCTCACAGCCTCATAGACGCCGGCATTTTCCTGCCTCACGCCTCATGCAATGGAAGGACACGACAATTGATGAAATGTACGTGTTTCTGGCACTCAGCATGATGATGAAGCACTTCGATAAAGCTGTCGTCCAGGATTATTGGAGCAAAGACAGCCTAGTTCCATCGCCCGTGTTTATCCAGCATATGTCGAGTGATAGGTTCCTCTTGATTCTCAGGTGCCTGCATTTAGAGAATAATGCAAATGAGGACAGACACGACAGACTGTGGAAGGTACGGAAGGTGTTCAGTGACATGAGAGGGACATTCAGGGATATTTTGTACCTGCACAGAATGTGGTTATCAATGAATCTCTAGTATTGTTCAAGGGGCGACTGGCATTCAAGCAGTACATCCCAACAAAGCGGCACCGGTTTGGACTGAAGTTTTTTGTGCTGTGCGACTGTGAGACTGGTATCGTCTTGGACATGATATTGTATTCTGGTACAGACGTCAACATACCAGCTCAGGATGAACACGGGTTCTCCGGCAGTGTCATAAAAACCCTGATGGAACCATTGCTGAACAAGGAGTATATACTGACTGACAACTATTACACTGTCTCTAATTAATTACAACTATTACCCTTATTGACCAGATACCTCCTTGTCCACAACACCGGCGCATGTGGCACTGTGAAGGCCCAGAGGAAGGAAATGCCAGTGTTCAGTATTGGTATAGCAGTGGGTGATTGCCAGCTGCGTAAGTGTGACAATAAGCTGTCAGTGCGGTGGAAGGACAGACGCGAGGTGGATATGCTGACTACGATTCAGACCGGTGCCATGTTGGACAGTGGGAAAGTCCACTTTCAGACGCGCTTCCCCATGAATAAACCGGACTGTGCCATAGACTATAACGTGAACATGCGCCTCGTCACTAAATGTGACATGATGCCTGGTGTAGTGGAGTGCATGCGCAAGTCTGTGAAGTGGACGAAAAAGTTCTTCTTTCACCTAATAGATGTTGCAGTGCTCAACTGCTTCAGTATGTACCTGGTAAAATCTGGCAGGAGACCATCAATAGGTACATTCAGTGCTGGTGTTGTGTCACAGCTGCTAGTAAAGTATGGCAAGGAGGGCTCCATTGCACCGCGTGGGGTGCAAGCAACAATGCCACTCGCAGCTCCAGACAGACTGAGGGGTAACGAAAACCTCGGAGTACACATACTCAAGTATATGCCAGGCACAGCACCATGGGAGAAGGGTAAACGTGCATGTATAGTATGCAGGAACATTACCCGTAGAGAACAAAAGCGAAGATGCATCAGTACATGGTGCGTGGAGTGCAAGGTACCACTCTGCCCCTTTGGCTGTTTCGCAGCATATCACACACTCGCGGAGTACTGAGTGTGTTTATGGTGTGTATATAGTGTGTGATACTGTATAGTGTGTATATAGACTATAAATATATTAATACATTGGAAATATGTGCAAGATAAGTGAACACTTTGATGATGCACGTAACACAGTGTCTACGGACAGTACGGATGTTCTACTGCCATAATATAGTGTACATGTTCATTATACATAGGATTGGTACGTAAAAATAAATCAATTGTATTTGGAACTGTGCACAAAAAATGAACAAAAATATATTCGCGGCAGCGGGCACATCCTGCCCTGGGTGTCCTACTGGATAGAAATGGTTGGGCACATTACCTATCACCTAATGCACCTGTTCACTTAGCATTTAAAATAGGTACCCAAGAGTTAGCCAGCTTGTGGGGTTACTGGGGGGTCAGTAATTTGACCTTGGGGGGGGGGGGACCTTGATTTAAGACTAACATGTATATATACATATTGGCTTCCTGTCCCCTGACAAAGTGAATTATAATTAATGATAAAACTTCCAATGGTATCATTTACAACTAGGGAGCAATGCTTATTGTTTTCAATATGTTGATCAATGATTGTTAAAACAGTCAAAAAATCAGCACCAGGAAGTTACATGGCCCAGCAATAGAGATCTTAATTGCACCACAATATTAGTCTTAATGTTTCAAGCTGACACACAAAAATCTTTTCTAGATATCACACAGGAACATAAATTTTGGGGAAACTATAATAAAAACTATTTTCAGTGATATCTACAGCAAAATATATTCTTTGGGAACAACAACAATAACAACAACTTACAGTGTTGATATCAGATGTCTGACTAGAGAGGATTTCATCAATGAGTCGCTGTGCAGTAGGTAAAATTTGCTGTGGCAATTCACTGATGAGGTACTGAGCAAATTTTTGCAGCTGGTCTCTTTGTAGTCTCGATAATGACTCACTGACTGGGGCACGAAGCTTAACCTGGCTTGGCTGTAAAATAAGAAATTAAATTAATAATGGATGCAGAAGACATGGGGTAAGCCGAGTCCTGTATGAGACATTTACCAGAAATAATGTTAACATTTTATAAACAGAATAAGCTGAAGTACAGACATATAACTAGATTTAAATAAGTAAAATTAATATCACTAATCTTCTATACAATTTCATGATACAATTACAGTAATATGAAATATTATTAACCTTGTGAGGACACTTCATATGAACATACCTATTTAATTCTTATAACAGGTGAGTGTATGATGATCCAAGTTTGGTTGTATCTTGCTCAAAACATTTTAATACACTTATAAATCATGTCATAATATTGTACTTCTTATATTTTTTCCTATAACCTATCCATATGAAAAGTATTAAAATAGTGCACGGTAGAGTTTCTTTCACCCTATGCCCCTGGTACCTAGCAGTAAAATAGGTACCTGGGTATTAGTCAGCTGTCACAGGCTGTTTCCTGGGGGTGGAGGCCTGGTCGAGGACCGGGCCTCGGGAACACTAAAAAGCCCAGAAATCATCTCAAGATAACATCAAGAAGATACATACTCCCAGGCAGCACACTACTATATTAGGTTGCTATTACTACTGTTATTTGTTTTGAGCAGTAGGTTGTTGTTGCACAGTACTAAAATTGCAAATTTACACTTTATGTATATAGAATACCCGGTATCTCTTCTTTTTCATTCTCCACGAGTGTTACTTCCATTCTTGCAGTCTGAGTACAGGGTCTTAAATTTGCTGTTTTCTCAGTCTGTATGAAGCTATGCAGCAGTTATGATGGTGCTCTGCTTTTGTTAAATTGTCATTTTCAAACTACTGCTCCAGTGCCCCTCCTGATTCTGATACCGTATACTCATCTCTGGCTCTCTAAAGTACCATAAGTACCTACATGTCTTTTCTGGGGAGCCTCTACTAGCAACATGAAGCTATCTCACTAAGATGATACATAAAATAAGATCCAAAGGAATAACACAAGGTGAGGCAATGGATATTCAATTTCTTGACAAATATGTCACAAGGAAAAGTGGTAAACCAGATAACATATGATCAAATTTTAATTTATCAATTAAAAATGTATACAGTTGTACAAACCATTATTAATCTTTATATTGTATAGGTTTGTATTTTGTATTTAAGTAGATTCGATAACGTTTCTATTAAAAATGCATTTACAATTTGTTACTAAAGATAAGAAATTATATATTTATATATATATATACCGAGTCTCCTCTGTATATACATATATATAAAACATAACAGATATATGTATACTGTATATATACAGACCTGGTGAATTCTGTGAAGGCATACAGCCACCACATGGGAACACCAAGAGGCATTTGCTGAACAGGTACAGTTGCAGGTGGTGATCCTGCCTCGGTCAAATGTAACAGCCACATTAAACTGTCCTTTTGTACCAGATGAAGATACTACTACAGTTGCACTCAGGTGAAACCCTGAAATATGGAATCCATATGAATACAAATTAGTCAAGGCCAGTTCATATAAGTTTCTAAAGGTCCAAAATACTACCTACAAATACTGGATAAACTAAGTTTCCTGTTCTAAAAACCAGAGTTGAATGTAATGAAACACTATTTTCTGGGTGAGACCCGGAGGCTCCCTGGAGCTATGTGAGCTGATATAAATGTATTAGACTTTGGCATCAGTCAAGCGAATGGAGTTCTTAGGGCTACCAGAGACCACAAGCCAGAACCTGGCCCCCCTCAGAGAGGCACAAGGAGCAATGGCCTATAGAAATTCCTGTGGGATTGGAAGCATTCTCTGTCTGCCATCGATCGGGTCAGTAACCCATAAAGGTAGGTGCCCCAAAACAAACCCAATCTGGTTAAAATATTGCTACTGAAAGCCGAACTCCCCAAATGAAAAACGAGTAAACGAACATGACGTCAGAACCGTCACCGTGCTGCTGTCTGCGCAGCTCCCCCCTCCCCGGGATGGGAAAGGGGGAGCTCCAGACCCCCCGTGCCGGCTATCCAGCCCATTAGCTTTGAGGCTGAATGTCAAAATATCATAAACCGCCGACCAGAGGGAGGAAGGGTTGCCGGGAAGCCTCCGGGTCTCGCCCAGAAAATGGTGTTTCATTGCATTCAACGCTGGTCTGGGGAAAGCCCCTTCGGCTTCCTAGAACTACTTAACCAAAGATAAAAACAAGAGGGACTTACCCAGGAGGCGGTCGCCACTCCCAACTTCGCCATTCAACTCGAAATCGAGACAACTGGCTGCAACCGCTGACCCAATGCGACACATGCACGACTAGGGCCAGGAACACTGACTCGAGTGACCAGGACCCTGTTCGACCTCCAATATCCCCGTGCCCGAATGTCAACTCAAGACATGTTACCGAAGACAGCAACCAAAGCAGCAAATTTATGAACATCATGGGCACGAGGATAGACAGTAGGCTGGCTGGACCGAATAACCCTGTGGACGACCTGGGAGACCACGAGCCATGGAACAGAGAAGAAGGGAAACCGGGTCATCCCAAAGCGTGTCCCCCACCACCGAGGCTGTGGCACGCAGGTAACGGCGAAGAGCTGCAACCGGACACAACACATGATGCACCCCCGGCCGAAGCAACCAAGTATCAAGCAACCAAAGGACCTTCGGAAAGCAGCAGTCTCATTCTTCGCCAGAAAAGAAGGAGACAGCTGCAAATGAACAAACCTACCACCAGGATGCAAAAAAGCAGAAACCCCCGTGCCGGAGGAGAGCACGAAGCTCCCCAACCCGACCCCCAGAGGCCAATGCCAACAGGAAAAAGAGCCTTCGCAAAACAATCTTGAACCAAAGGGGCCACAACAAACCGAGAAGATAGAAAAGAGATCACCCAGTCCAACGACCAGGACAGCTCAGACGGTGCATGAGCAGTCCGGAGGTGAAACAATGGCCAAGAGGTGAGGCCAAGAGGACTACTCTCCCTTGGTAAGTCTCCAAGCGAGCTAGGACCTGGAGCAACAGCGGAACCAGGGGAAAGAGGTACAAAGGTATAGAAAAGGTATAGAACCAGGGGGAAGAGGTATAAAAAAAATATATATATAGAGGTCCGAGTAAAAACCCCGGACATCTTCAAGAGAAAACTAGACTGTTTTCTAAAGGACGTTCTTGTTCAACCAGGCTGTGGTGGGTATGTGGACCTGCGGGCCGCTCCAAGCAACAGCCTGGTGAACCAAACTCTTGACCTCGGGCCAGGCTTGGCGAGAAGAACAACTCCCAGGGCCCCATCAACCAGGTATCAACCAGGTACAGGTAACCCCACCTCGCCAAGTACTGCCTGAAGACATCGACCCCAACTGCCTCACAGTCAGGAAAGGGCGCCACATATACTGGAAGACGCCTCAACCAGGCAGACATTAAGAGGGCCACCTTCGAGAGCCCCTACATCCAGCAGTCAACTGAACGAGTGGACGTCGACCGTCCATTCCGTGGACAGGGGGATGAACTGAGACAGGCCATCTGCCAGGACATTGGACACTCCCTGAACGTGAATGGCCAAGAGAGCCAAACCCCGAGAACTCAGCAGGCAAGTCAACCAAAGCAACCAGCCCCAAAGGACCAAGGACCACACCAAACCCCCGTGGTGCAGAAAATGAACCACTGGGGAGCAGTTTGAATGGAGTCGGATCATTGATTCACGAGCAACCCGAATCCTCCAAAGTGCCCGCCACACTGCCGCGAACTCCCGCACCATGCTGTGGGCCCGGCGAAAGGATGGACCCCACCGCTCCTGGCTGGCCTGGTGAGCACTGGTCACAAAGCCAAAGTCAAGAGACAATGTGTCCATGAACACATCGAGCAAGGGCTCGGGTAGGCGCCAAGGCACTGAATCCCAGAAAACCTGAAGAGGCTTTCAGCCAACGAAAGCAGCAGCCAACATAAGGTGCCGGGAGGCCGAACCCAGCGATCACGAGAGAAGCGGAAGGGACATCCCTGAAAGAACCAGAACAGCCAACAAAGCCAAACCTGACCTGGTGGGTAGACCATCACAGCAAAGTTCAGACTCCCACACAAACCCCCGAGCAATCACATTGTGACCCGGGAGCCCCCCAGAAACAGGCGAAGGTGGGACAGCAGCTGCAGCAGAGCTGCCGGAGGGAGAGACAAGGAAGCGGTCCAAGAGTCCTACTCTATATCCAGCCAAGAGCGAACCTGAGAGGAACCCAGATGAGACTTCCTCCAGTTCACCAGGAACTTGAACCCGGTGAGCTGGGAGCCCACACCAGCCAGTCATCTAGGTAGGCCAGAACCCGGACCCGAACCCCCTAACAGATGCAAATGGGTTACCACGACCTGGGTGAGGTGTGTGAACACGTGAGGTGCTAGATTCAAGCCAAATGGAAGGCAATGTAAGCAGTAAGCCCGATGCCCCACAACAAAACCTAACCATTCCTTGAACCCCGGATGAATTGGGACGTAACAATACGTGTCCCGGAAGTCCAGGGACACCTTCCAAGCGCCCGGCTCCAAGAGAAGGCGGACCTGGGAAAGAGTAGTCATCCGAAAGAAGGTGCAATACACCCAGGGGTTCAGATGGGACAAGTCCAGAATGAACAGCAGGTCTGCGCAATCCCGCTTCGGAGCCGGAAACAGGCAGGAAACCCACCTGAGGGATGAGGTCGTTTCGACCACTCCCAAGCGAACCCACTCCAAGATGACCCAAGAGAGTGCAGGAGAAGAAGCCTGCCCCACCTGCCCAGAACCTCCCGAAGGAGAAGAGGCCACCCAACGCCACTGCAGGCCATAAGAAACGATCCAAAACGCCCATGAATTGTGGGACCAGGCGTGAGCAAACAGCGCGAGCCTCCCCCCCCCCCATCGGCCTGTCAATGGGACGATCCGCAAAAGGGCCATCGCCCCTTACAAAAAGCTAATTTACGAGCAGAGCAATCACAGCGCCGACTAGTAGTCATCGATTCCGAAGGCTGTGCCAGCTCCGAAACTTGTACCACTGGCCTACCACAATGGGACGAACCCTGAGCCCTCGCACGACCCCCAATGGGATTTCCAGAGAACCAACAAATCCGACATAGGACAACTAGAAGAGACCACTTGCAGATACTGCACCACCACAGACTCTGTAAACAGCAATGGACAAAAAGTTATAAAAAAACCTAAGCGCCAGGGCCCACACAGATTCCACAGACTGAGTGAGCACCCCCTGCCAGCACGCGAGACGAGAAGCAAAGAACAGAGACGCTGCCTCCCATCGAATCAGTGCAAACAGCTTCAACAGAGCAGCCGAGGCCCGCACCGCTGAGACCAGAGCACCAGACCTAGGATTGGCCCTAAGAACCTCCACATCCTCCTCGAGCCAGACCGAAGACAGCTCGAGAAGGGAAAAGAAACACAAGACCGAAGCCAAGTGACCATGGGTGCGCAAGTCCTCAGCTACCAGGGCAGCTGAAATGGAAAGAAACTTCACATGAAGCTGAACAAGGCCAACATCCTGAGGAAGGGCAGGGGGCGAACAAACATGCATTGAGGTGCTCAAACTTGCCCCCCCCAGGTAAACCTATACAACTGAAAGGGCCTCTCGCCACTCAAGCATGCAGGACTGACAGAACGTATGCCACACCCCCAACAAAGAGATAGAACAGTCTGCCAACCAGGACGACTCCGGAATCTCATAACGAACCTAGTAAGGAAAAAATGAACCGAACTCAGAGGAGGCAGGATCCATTATCGAAGCACAATCTGGGTCGCGCAGGAGGTAAGATGCAATGTCCTCCCGCACCTCATACAGCAGGAGGCCGAAAACCTTCGGAAAGAAGGAACTGAAGTACCCAGGGGTACCCGGAACCAAATCCGGGGAGTGGTCGACGCCATATCAAACTCGTACAAGGAGAGGGGGGGGGGGAGAGATAAGAAACCCCATTCCCTGCAACAACAAGCCCTGCTCAGAGGGTACCAAACCCAGGCGCGGTCAAATGGGGCTCAAACCTCCCAAGTCAACCCTTCCCTTGCCCCAGGAACCTCCACATCAGGACCCTGGGCCTGAGTCGTCCTCCAAACCCCTTGCCTCAAAAGAAAAGGTAGAAGCAGTCGGGAAAGCTGAACCGAAGGGGTCCCACTAGTCAGACCCAGAATCACCAGCTGGAGGAACGGGCTCGAATGCCTCCGTCGTCACACCGGAAGGAGCATCCCCCCAAAACTGCCAGTCTGATCACCAACTAAACCCTGTCCCGACTCCAAAGCCCTCAGATGTTTTGGAGCCGGAAGCAAGGGTTGAGAGGAGCAGGACGAACAACAGCAGGGGAAGAACCCAGGGGCGCGGATGAAACCTAAGTCGAAGCAACTAACATCCCAAAGTCTGGGTCCCTATAACCAAGACGGGGCAGTCTCAGGGCAGTTTCAGGGCATCCGGGTGAGCAACCAACCTATAACATGCATGCAACGCCGAAGGTGCCTGCACCCTAAGATCAGTATCAGTGAACTGGGTGATCTGGAGAACAGGCAAGCAACACCACCCGCAGGACTCCAGGTCGAAGGTGTCACCAACCCAACAGGCAGCATGATGGAGGCAAAACAGATGGTGGTCACCCTGAGACAAGGGGACAGAACAACCTTCAAACTCGCATGAAGCGAGATGGGGCCCAGGGGACAGCCATCGAACCACTGAGCCCAGTGGGGTTTTCCAGGGCCTTTAGACACTCTGCTAAGGGAAGCCCAGGCAAGGTACTGCTAACCGGCACCCTAAACTACCAAGCAAACTACTAATAGCCGAATCCCCGGGACGTGTACACACATGGGGACCTAGTCGAGGACCACCTAGAATACAATATATGTAAATGGCAATAACACCAAGGGCAGACCCTTTACCAGCCAGAAAACAAAACTAAAGAAAAACCCTGTACGAGTACAACGCTTGCCCGAAACGCTATGTGTACTAGTGGCTTTAGGTATAATATGTACTACCTCTATCTTTAAATCAAACAGAATGTTTGTATTGTAATTCTGCAACTATGTATGTACTTTTCCTAAATAAATTATTATTATTATTATTATAACATACCCAGGCGGAACAGAGCCCGCCACTATATCAGGTGAAGAACAGCTACTCAGTACCTTGTGCCCCTATCAGTGACGAAACCACCTCCTACCCAGAGACAGAGGCGCATGAAACACCCCAGCTGACTCCAAGGGCGGGCAATTACCGAGCAGTAAAAGACCTTAGCGGAGGTAGCCCCCAAGCAACTTGTGGAAGAGAGCCCCAAGTCACAAGGGCAGTACTCTAAAGGCTCCTAGGGAAGGTAACCCTAGGCACATGCAGCCCAAGTACTGGTGAAATTACGCCTGGCTCACACACCACCACAGGAAAGGACTACACCACATGGCACAGCACTGAATAGAGTCTGGAGTCAGAGTCGCAAGACCGCCAGGTTTCACATTAGCCACAAAACTAATGGATTGGGGGTCTGGGGCTCCCCCTCCCCCCTCCCAGAGAGGGGGAAACTGCGCAGACAGCGGCTCGGTGGTGGTTGTGATGTCATGCTCGTTTGCTTGCTTTTCGGTTGGGGAGTTCTGACCCAACAGTTCGGCTTTCAGTAGCAATATTTTAAACAGAATAGGGGTTTTGTTTTGGGGCGCCTACCTTTCTGGGTGCCTGACCTAGTCGATGGTAGACATAGAATGCTTCCAACCACACGAGGGTTTTTATAGGCCATTGCTCCTCGTGCCTCTCTGAGGGGGGCCAGGTTCTGGCTCGTGGTACCTGGTAGGCCTAAAGAACTCCATTCGCTTGACTGATGCTAGGGGTCTAATACATTCATATCAGACCGGATAGCTCCGAGGAGCCGAAGGGCCCCCCCCCCATAGAAACAGTGATAAAGATGATAAAAAATATGAACATATGTTATATTGCACAAGCAGGAAGCTACACAGGTATACATCATTATTCAGCAATATATTACAATATGTTTATGGTTAATATGTATGTGGTCAATTAAGCGAGACAGTAGTAATCAAAATCATTTGACTTTTTATACAATATGCAAATATTCAGCCCATCCTCCTGCTTTGGTAGTACATACACATTTATAGTAATGATGAGGATCATAATATACATACCTACGTCCAACGAAATTAGAACGTAAAAATCTGAACTATTGAGTTGGACAAACCGGAAAACTATTTTTTACTTGTGTTGCTTTGACAAACTACACTAACCTATCCTAACCTCCCTAGGCCTAATACACAATATCTGAGGCCTAATATAGTACATATGTGTGCTATACTAGGCCTAGGAATATTTAAGTTTATGTTTTAGCTTCATTAATTTTAAAAGAATTCCTTACTAGTTAGTATGCTATCATCTAAAAGCTAAGATTGTATGAATTCTGACTATTGACGATCATCATAATAGGCACTATCTAAACAGGAGGATGGGTTGAAATATTGCAAATATGCAAGACAAGGATTCACTAAGCTCATCTTTACATTCTTTAATTGTTGGAATCTAAATCCTATATTTGTTACTTGTTACCGCCCCTGGTAATCAATATACAGTACAAATAAACTTGTCCTCTTCACAACCTCCTCTTAAATAATTACCTACACAGATTGGTTTAGCTGCTGGCTTAATATCAAGGTTTTTTCTGGTAAATAGGAAGTACAATACTTATTTTAAATACTACCCGACTTGTTTAATTTTTTAGTTGCCCAGTCTTCTCTATTATCTCTGTTAAATATATCTGAAAGAGCCCTGTAAGATTGTCTTTCCCTGCATAGGAAATATTGTATTCAGAGATTGTTGGCATGACAAAAACAATTGTAATATATTTACTGAAACTTATGCCTATATTGGTACTACAGTATATTGTGTTTTTTAATAAATGGCACTCAATACCCACCAATTTGTAGGGGATCATGAACACTCTTGTGTTTGTAATGATTTTCTCCACGGAGAAATTCATCAGCATTTCCATTAGCCAAGCAGCTATAGAGCCGAATGTCTTCTTCATTTTCTGGGAAACTCCAAAATGCAATAAGAAGCTGCAATTGTTCAGGGACAGGTGGCATCATCTGCTCCACCACTTCAAAAGGGATATGTGCTGCCACTGTGCGTGCACACATCTCTGTGAGTGAATGTACTCCGCCATCTGTAAATAAAAATTAATAAACAAAATGTCAGAATTTACTATAAATAAGCTGCTAATAAATAAACTGCCCGACCAGCACCCAACCTCAACCATCACCATCGTGCCCTACCATCTTTGCAACCGACTGTATCATCCCCGCCCTCATGCACCTTGCCAACCGGGTCATCGGAACCGACAACCACTTGTTTGTAAGCATACTCAAAACCCTATGTGCTGTGAACGGGTTAACTGAGATAATCGTTCCTGACGCAGTACTGGCTGCCCTAGCTACGACACATACGTCTCTAGCACCACCCACTGATTCAGCACATGCGGCTGTGCCCTCCACACCAGCAGCCAATTCAATACCTACATCATCTTCCATCAACTCCCTATCCGATGTGCTAGTAGGCGAATGATCACCCCTCGCCAGCAAAACCAGCAATGCTCCTGCTGCAACGGCAACCCCAGCTTTGCAGCCCTAGAGGCCCACATCTGCACCTTCGATGCACATCGAACCAGAAGCAGACGACCTATCTGACTCAAAAGACTCTGTGGGAGTAACATCTTCCCAGTATCTTAGTTCATACAGCCTGGATGACTACCTGCTTGATACCTGCTTGATGGGGTTCTGGGAGTTCTTCTACTCCCCAAGCCCGGCCCGAGGCCAGGCTTGACCTCGGGCCGGGCCTACTCCAGGCCTCTCCTGCAAGCTCAACAGACAGCATCACCCTGTCAACGCATAGCAAGAGGACGAAGAAGCCCCATAAGACAGCAATGTCCTAGAAAGGACATTGACCCCCATCCATCCACATATATACAGTATCAGCTATTGATACTGTACTCGTAATGGCTTCTAACGGCCTCCACTTACAGGCAATTCATGCCTGTGCCACATCTTGGCTTAATCTTAATCAGTCAATCAATCTTGAAATATAATTACGAGCTACTCATGCCCGTGCCACCTTTTTGGTGGCTTAATCTTAACCATTCATCTTGAAATATCCATGCTTCTGAAGACATAGATACTGTATATGCATGCATGCATACATGCATATATATACACACACACACAACCTACCTTCATGTCAAGATTAAACAAATTTATTATTTATAACATATCCCTAACATTATGTAATTTAATTAATTTTGTCAGGGAACAGGAAGCCAGAGTGTATTCATATATGTTAGGCTTTTATCGGGGTCTCCCTCCCCCCAGGGTCGAATTACTGACCCTGCCTAGGATGTAACCCCCCCACAATAAGCCGATTAATTCCTGAGTACCTACTTACTGCTAGGTGAATAGAACCATTAGGTGAACGAAAATGTGCCCAACCATTTCTATCCTGCCCTGACAGAATTCTTACTGTAAAGAATGTGATTAAACTGTACTGGTGAGAACATTATTCTCCATGACACCAATATATGATATTTAAGAAATAAGTAGATCTTATACAATACAGTACTGTATAATGAGTCATTATGTAGATAAGTATCTAAACTACAAAAGCACATGTAAATATCCTGTACTATCATTGCAGATATTGACTACCAAATTAATCAAATTCGGGTATTTACCTTGGTCTCTAGCACGGCCATATAGGAGGGAAGCAATTTTTTCAGAACGCTTCCAACCCCTCCAGTTGTTGCAGAGGGACTCGGGCTCGCTGATCCAGCTACATAATGAGTCCTCTTCAAATCGCTCCGAGTCCTCAAAGGAGAAACGATCCCCTTCCTCCCAATCAAACATTTGTTGAGCTGTAATGGTGCAGCGTGGTGGGGCCCAGGATGTGGAGGAAGAGAAAGGTGGAGAAGAGACAGAGGAAAAGAGGCAAGAGGAATAGGATGAAGAAAAGGACAAAGTGGATGGGGTGGAAGAGGAGGACGAAGAGTCACAAGAGGAGGGGGAAGAAGAAGATAAGGATGAGGAAAAGGAAGAGGAGTAGGACAGGCACTTACAGTTGGTGGCCACAATGCACAAGCTCCTTAGGCTAGAAAACTGCAGGTACTACTGGGACACAATTTCCAAATTGGGACAGTCTCCTGCCACACAAATTTTTTGTCCTGCAGATGGCTAGGGCAAATCTTCCACACTCTAGTCATATTTTCCAACTTATGACTGAAAAATACTTAATGCTGCTTATTTTCATCTGCATTACATTCAGAATTACAAGGCCAATGCACTATCTTGTAAATCACTCACAGATTTTTATCATACTGTATTTCATTGTTAAGACCATACATTTTCATGTAAGATTAATTTTGACTGCCATTTAACTGGAGTTCTAAATAATCTTAAGTTTTTCAGTTTAGAGCCAAGCTTTTTCATAGTCTCAAGCCAGATCTTCATGCCACAGGAGCAGCTGTTGAGCCAGTTTCAAATGATGCTCAAAAAACATTCCTTAGAAAGAAAAGATACATTAATATAATTGTAATTGTAATCATATTGGCAGATAAAATACAATAAAATACAGTCAAAAAATTTGTGCAGTGTTCCCTCAAAAATCTAAACCTTCATTTAAATCTGCCCACAAGATATACAGAAAAATCCGGATCATCAGTTCATAAAAGTAATTTACATTAAATAACCGTTTTCCTATTTTTATTAATTTTGCTTTTATATTCATAAATACAGTATTACAAAAATAGGCTGATGCTACTGATACCATCACATCAGTACACTTCTAACACCAACTTGAACCTCTGCCAATTGACCAGAAAGCTGAAGCAGGACAAATGAGAAAGAACTAAATCCATGACCACCAGACAAGCAGGACAACTGCGGCCCCACAGCAGCCAGCCTTCAAGGTAGGCCAGATCTTGGATCCCCAGAAGTCAAAGATGTTGAAGGACCATGCCAGTCACTCTGGTGAAGATTTTGGAAGGCAGGTTCAAATCATATGAAGTAGCCCAAAATTGGTAGAGGATCCCTACTTTAAACCCTACTCTGGGCCTCCACTCTTCAAACAGAATTGGTTGCCATAATCCTTGCACTCGAATGTGTATATGAATCCAAAGTTGACATACTAATTGTAAGTGACTCCTTGTCATCCTTGAGTGCACTCAGCTTCCCAAGGCATAACTGTGACATGCTTGTGTCTGAAGTTAGACACAGATATAATGAAATAATTAGTGATCTACCTACCTACCTTGTGTCTACATTGTGTAGCTTTCGGGGTACAACAGCCCCGTGGCCTGGTCTCCGATCAGGCCTCCCAGTTGGTCATCTGGTCAACCAGACTGTTGGACGCAGCTGCTCGCAGCCTGACATATGAATCACAACCTGGTTGATCAGGTATTCTTTGGAGGTGTTTGTCAAGTTCTCTCTTGAATACTGCGAAGGGTCGGCCAGTTATGCTCCTTAAGTGTAGTGGGAGTGTTGAAAAATCTTGGGTCCTTGATGTTGATAGTTCTTCCTCAGCATACCTATTGCACCTCTGCTCTTCAATAGGGGCATTTTGCACATCCTGCCATGCTTACTGGTCTCTTGTGATATTATTTCTGTGTTCAGATTTGGAACCATTCCCTCCAATATCTTTCACATGTAAATTATTATGTATCTCTCTCCTGCGCTCTAAAGAATACAGATTTAAAACTTTTATTCGGTCCCAATAATTAAGATGACTTATCGTGTGGATTCTAGCGTTAAAAGTTCTTTGCATGCTCTCTAGGTCAGCAATTTCTCTGGCTCTGAATGGGGCTGTTAGGATGCAACAACATTCCACCCTTGAGAGCACTAGTATCTTAAAAAGTATCATCATTGGTATGGTATATAATCCCTTGTTTGGAAGATCCTTGTTATCCAACCTGTCATTTTTCTTGCAGTCATGACAGCTACTTTATGGTGTTCTGTAAAAGTAAAGTCTTCTGACATGATTACTCCTAGATCCTTTACATTGCTTTTTCGTTCTATACGGTGATTTGATTCCGTTTTATATGTGGTTTCCTTTTTTTTTTAATTTTAATTTTTTCCATAGCACAGGAGCTGGAACATACTGTACTCTCATTAAACATCAAATTATTATCTGTGGCCCATTGAAAGACCCGAGCTACATCTGATTGGAGGTTTGCCGTGTCCTCTATATTGTCTACTCGCATGAATATCCTAGTGTCATCTGCAAATGATGATTCAGTGCTGTAGTTTGTATCCTTGTCTATGTCTGATATTAGGATGAGGAAAAGTACTGGAGCAAGTATGGTACTTTGGGGGACTGAGCTTTTCACAGCAGATGATCCGGATTTTACTGTGTTGACTATTACACTCTGCATTCTGTTCATTAAGAAGTTGAAGGTCCACCTCCTTAATTTGCCAGTAATCACTTTTGTCCGTATTTTGTGCACAATAACACCATGGTCATGTTTATCGAAAGCTTTTGCAAAGTCTGTGTATTTTGCTTGTCTGCATTTTGCTTGTCTTCCATGGCACCTAAGGACATGTCATAGTGATCTAGCAACTGTGAGAGGCAGGAGCACCCTGTTCTGAACCTGTGTTGTCCAGGGTTATGTAGATATTGTAAACAAATCCACAAGGGCTGTGATGAGGATTCGAACCTATGTCTGAGAGCATCCCAGACACTGCCTTACTTTTAATAGTTCAGTAGAACTTCTGGTTTCAACTCTTTTGACCATGTCGTAGCTCAGTCGATTGAGGCAGTGTCTGGGATGCCCTCAGATGTAGGTTCGAATCCTCGTCATGGCCCTTCTGGATTTGTTCATTTGATGCATCACGCTATTGTGATTTCTGTGTGTAGATATTGTAATTCCATGTGATTTGCAATCTTACTTCTTAGCACTCTTTCAAAGATTTTTATGTGTAAGCTTAGAGCTATTGGTCTATAATTTGTACATCTGCTTTACTATCTCCTTTGTGAAGTGGCATGATCTCCGCTGTTTTAAGGTCTGTATGTCAGGGATGATGCCAGTATCTAGGCTCCGTCTCCAAAAGATGTTTAGGACCTGTGATAATGGTGTTTTGCACTACTTGATGAATATAGAATTCCATGAATCTGGGCCTGGTGTCAAGTGCATTGACATGCTGTCTATGGCTACTTCAAAGTCCAGTTTGGTTAGGGTGATATCTGATGATGTTCAATGTTGGTGTCACATGAAGAATTCATTTGGATCATCAATCTTCAATGTAGTCATGGGTTCACTGAAAACAGAATCGTACTGAAGCCTCAGTATTTCACTCATTTCCTTGTCATCAGTGAAAGTTCCATCACCCTTGCACAGGGCACAATGCTGGATGCAGTTTTTGTTCTTGTTTTTGCATACGAGAAAAAGTATCTTGGGTTCCTCTCTATTTCACTTATGGCCTTTTGCTTACTTTGCCTCTTGGATTTTATATGATTTTTTCAGCTCCGGGAAAGAGTGGAGCGTTTGAGATGCTCTGCTATTTGTTTTCTTCGCTATGAGGGAGCGCCGTTCTCATTCCAGTTTGCATCTTTTTCTCCTTTTTCTTAGTACTTAGGTTTTCTATTTGGTCCTGCCTCAACTGTCAATCAACTGGTATGCAGATTCCTGAGCCTACTGGGCTCTCAAAAGCATTAGTGGTATATGCTGTCTACACATTTCTAGTGCTATAGTGCCTATTTTCTCAAAACACTGGTTTAAGTTTGCATTATGTATTTGTTCTTCCCAGCATAGTTCTGCAAGGTCTTGGTTTATTCATTCCCAGTTAATCAGTTTGTTATTCAAATTGAGTTTGCTGAATTCTCCTTCTCTGGTATTTGAGCTTTACTGCACAAGTCTATTGCCCATGCTCATCTGAACTTTAATCAGGTTGTGAGCTGAATAACAAGTAGTTGAAATTATTATGTCCCTGATCAGCTCATTGTTGTTTGTAAAAATAAGGCCTAGGATGTTTTCTTTCCTAGTTGGCTCTACTATTTGGTGGTTTAAAGCAAATATGTAACACATCTGCAAGAGGTCATTTGTGTGACTGTTCATTCAGAGTGCTTCCCGGGATTCACTGCTATACTGTAATAGTATTTGCCACATTTTTCAAGTTTAAATGTTCTAAGTTGAAATCACCAAGCAAGATGATGTTAGGGGCAGGGTTTGTAAAGTTTTCTAAGCAGTATTTTATTTTCAAAAGTTGGTCTTTAAACTTTTGGGGATTTGCATCAGGTGATTTATTTATATGCAAGGACAATCACCACATTTAGAATTTATATTTTTGTTATCAGCACTTCCACCATGTTGTTTGTGGTGCAACCCGTTCTCGCAAATTTAATAAGTCAATATTGACTTATTAAATATGTGCATAGGTGACATACTTAACATAATAGTTTCCCTTGAAAAGCTTCATAGAAAACACCGACCTTACCTAACCTACTTAGTATGTTAAGATAAGCATCTTATTGCTTCGTAATTACAATTATTACCTAACCTATACCTATAATAGGTTAAGTAACAATTGTAATTACGAAGCTATAAGATGCTTATTTTAACATACTAAGTAGGTTAGGTAAGTTCGGTGTTTTCTATGAAGCTTTTCAAGGGAAACTATTATGTTTAGTATGTCACCTATGCACGCAACTAATAAGTCAATATTGACTTATTAAATTTGCGAGAACGGGTTGTGTGGTGTTTAGCAGCTCTGTGTAGATGAGGGTGTCTTTGATGTACAGGTGGACCCCACCCTGTAGCCTGTGTTTCCTGCCATATCTGAAAAGATTGTACTCTGGGATCCATATTTCACTATCATAATAGTCTTTAGTGTGAATTTCAGTTAAAGCTGCGAACACTGCATTTGCCTCCTTTAAGAGGCCAGAGTCTGTCTCCTGTGGATTCTTTCCCATATTGGTCTCCAAATGTATGATAGAACTGATGAGTTAGTCAAAATGTTTGCTCGTAAAGAAGGAATTGATTACTATCTTGGACTGCCTTTGAGCAGCCTTAGGACAGTAACATTCTGGGAACATCAACAAAATCTCTTAGACTTGAGGGAAAGTGAAATTCACACCAAATACTCCATCTATCATCATTCTTTTATGCAGGAAGAACCATACATCTATGGGTCATCTAAAAAAGGTTAGCAGACTTCTAGATGTTACCACTGCCAGGCTTAGGCTCGGCTACAAGTATATCTGGGAGTTTGCAACATCTGCTGATGTAGATTTGACTAAATGTAAACTCTGTCAGCAGAACTATTCACATACTTTGTCATTATATATTTCATTCATAATGATGTACTGCTAGGAGTCTTGGCGAAGTATCCAAAATTTGTTTACTGTAGGTAATGCATGCACATGACTGTAAAGCTGCCACCCAGTTGGGTGGGAGTGGAGCAAGATTAGTAACTGTGTCACTCGCCATTGATGTAAAATACCTTATATAGAGACTGCCGTGAGCCTCTTGTTGAATGACTTGTGATATAAAAAGAATATCAATAATCAA